ATATAATAATAACAATATATCATATTATTATAAAAACGAACGAATATTTTATAATATTTTACACCGTAAGTCGCAGCTGTATATAGTGCAATATAACAACACGCATCCTCGTTTATTAAAATGATGATTTCAACGGATTCCGGATCCTGCGCCGAGAATGTTGCTGTCGGTTTCATGTTATTAAGATTATTTTTAGAGTCTCGACTAGCGACGACACTAAGGGTGGGTCGCATAGACGTCCTATAGCGACTTACCGAATCTTTATCGCACCGTTAAGGCGTTAACGGCTCTGTAAGTAAAACTGGGTGTTGCTTGAACGCCCGATAGAGTTAATGGGTTCTGTAAACAGCTATCGATCACCGGACCTGTATACTACAGATCGGATTTTGGTTACAGACCGATGAAATATCATATATTGATGTTATAAAATGTGTTATCGGTTATTTAATTAATTAGGCAATTACTGTTGTCATTTAAAATTTATTTAATATTCAACACTATACTCTGTTCGAGATAAAAAAACGCAAGGCGGCAGTCAGGTAATTAGGTAAAACCGGTTATTGTCCCCCACACCAAGTCACCAATCCTTATACCTCCCGTGTAGTATCGCCACGTCTCTGCGCACAAGTTGGGCCGCCTTTTGCGTTTCTTATCTTGAATCGTCGACTTTATAGAATGAATAAATTACAGGGCCGGTAACAAATTTACAGATTATTGTTGCCACTATAGAAATTATTTCGTACACGACAATAATAATATAATGTGTGCATAGTTTTTCTACGTGAAATTGATTTCACTCAACTGAATTATGGGTGACAACCACGGTTTAAGATAGAATGGTTAAGCGACGAGGCCTGTTATTTCGGCGGAAGAGTTTCTTATCAAAAATATGAAAAACTCACTGCCCCGTGGCGCGATCTACTAAATTACCACTATAATCTTGATATTCTTTATTTATTAAATAATAATAATACTATACTAGGTATAATATAATACTATATTATAAATTATAATTATTATTAATTATTAATTATTATTATAATACCTACTTCATAATCCTTTATGATTGAAAACCACGGTTTAAGATCATCTATCTTAAACCGTGTTGAAAACGTAGAAGAACTTTACAGTGTATTTTTTTTAACAAATGTCAAATTTATTTTTATTTTGGCATTTAATAGCTTTCCAATCTAATACCACCTGTATGAAGTGTTAACTAATTTTACAAATAAAAATAAAAACAAGTTGTTAAATAAACCGATTTTTTAATTTCAATTTTTCTATTCTAAACCAAAACAGATTACCAAAAGGAATAATAGGCAGTCCTTTTTATTTTACATGAAATTTACAATCTGTTCTTAACTAGAACAATACGCAAATGTGCATAGGGTATTTGCGTATGATTGATATTTTGAGGGAAGAAACCACCCATTGGTGATACTACCTATTTTGTGTTCTTAATTTCCCAGATAGCAAAAAAAGATTTTATTGACATCAAAATATTATTTATTTGTTAATGATATGATTATATAATTATTAGGATTTCATCACATTCTGATTAAAATGATGTTATTTTAATAATTATATATTGTTGTTTGGCCACTAGTCTGAGGATAGATGAATGATACAATTATATTGTTAATTTATGATTTTTTTTAAAATGTCATATGAACATTTTTTTGATACATTTTAAAAATATTACCCTTCAATCATAAATTAACGTCATTTATTTTAAATTAATTTGTTATTATAAAATAATCATTTATATATTGTTATTTTTCTAACTATTATTTGATGATCCTTATCTTAAATTAATTTGATATTATTTTATAAATTTCTTAAGATTATTATTTTTTAATATAATTCTGATGGTAATTTTAAATTATAATTTAATTTAATATTAATAAATTTGATATTATTTTTGATCTATATGGTTCAATATAGATATCAGTAAAAAATATATCAAATAATTGAATTGCTAGCCAGACCTACGAGTACTATAATATATTATATAACTAATAATATTTAATATTAATAATCATAATAGCTGAGGACTAGAGGAGCTGTAATAAGTAATAGAAATATGAACATAATGACAAATATTATATATATTTATTGTATCCATGAAATTACATTACAATATTAAATGTTAAAAAATAAAATTCAAATCATACAATTTGCTTTTAATAATAATTAATGAATTTAAAAAAAAAAAAATTGAAAAATCTTTAATGATTACTAATAGGTAAATAGTTATGTCTGGTAATTCCTTTAGGCATGTTCCTAACTTTAATTTTATACATTAAAAAATATTAAAATATATATTTAATTTATGTATTAGCCGAAGCCGATGCATTATCTAATAGATCAGCTTCCTGATTTTGATTATTTTTGCGTGTAGAGTCTCTAAATTTGGCACCAGCTATAAATATTTTTAGAGGATTTTCAACATCTATAGCATCAAACTTGCTGAATTTTTTCATTTTTTTGATTGCCTCTGTTATCAAATAAAAATTTAATAAAATTATTTACAATAATATATTATAGAGTTCTTTATCTAATTAATAATCAACAGATAATATAATATACGTAAAGAGATGTATAGTAGTATTATATGAGTCTGTGATAAATTTATTATACCTATGATAAAAAACAAAATCATAATATTATATTATAACTAATCAAACTTACCAAATATAATAGAACATGTTGCCAATGTGTAAAAAACTTTTTTATTTCCTATTCCTTTATAGCTATACTCTTCTAGAAGTCTATCTTGGAAAATAATGCGCATAATTGCACGCACAGTGCTTGGTAATGTGTTTCGAGAGTACCGTTTAATTTCTTCAACCTTCAAAAAAATTTTAATTAAACATTTTAATATGTTTATGTAGTTAAAAATTAATATAAATTACCATTTTAGCTCTAAATTCTTTATTTAAAAGCTTAATTTCAAAGGTCTGCAAGTTTTCCTCGGTTTCAAGAGGCAAAAGATTATTGAATTCTGTTTGAAATGTATCGTCACAATTTCTTTTACTTTGATCTCCACTCTTGAAATCATTGAACAGCATGCCTTCTATATTATTAATTTTATCAGCCATCATGTTCAAGTCGTACTTAATATTACAAATTGTTCGGTTCATTTTTTGTAGATAATCTGAAATTTTATTAATATACTGATAATAAGTTGACCTATTTGAATAGAAAATTCAAAATTATTTTAAAAAGTTACCTAGTACAGAATTATTAACTGCCGAAGAAGTATTTATATCAGATGACTCCTCTATAGATTGGTTCAATGTTACTTTGAAAGGCGACGATGTTGTATGAACTATTTCTGAAGATTTGTGTCCAACCAATTTATTTGAAGATATGACTCTTGTATCTGGACCTAATGAAGAAAAATATACTTATAAGTTATGACTGTATGTATATATAATATATATGTGTGTGTGGATATAACTGTTGGGTGGGTGATCTAAAATTATTTATTACTTTCCAGTTATTATTTCAATTAAAAATATATTTAATACTATAGTTAGGAATTTATTTTTATTTATCACAAATAATTATGTTTTTATAAATGATATTATAGATATTATAGATATTGTCATGACAAATTAATCATCGTATTATAATGATCTTTGTACGCTATCATCTATTCAATACTTTAACTAGAACATAGTCTAAACTCTTCAGTCTTCTCTTTATTTAGAACTTATTTATTTTTAATTTTATTTCAGTATATTTGCAATAATACCATAACTTACCAATATTTTTTAATTTCTTGACACCACTAAACACACTTGGACTCAGAGAACAATGGCGCTCAGGAATATCAAACGCCAAACGTTTTTTTACATTTAAAGATGTGACTGGACAAGAATTTGAAATATTTATCTCCTCTGCAGCAATGATTTTGGTTGGAGTTTCTACAAAATATTTAATCATTTGAAACCATTATATAAAACGATGATATACGAATTATTATTAGTATAATATTAATTCTACTTACCATGACTAATATTTTCTATGTGACGAGGACTATAATTCGGATCTGCATCACTATCATCAATTTCATCATCTAATAATAAATTATAAAACAAAAACAGATATTAAGTCAGTCATGCTTAAAGTGTTAGCAATAATTATAAGATTTACTTGAAAGATCACAAGATGCAGGACTCCATAACAAAGGATTTTCAGTTTTTTTACCTTTTAATATAATTTTTCTTTTTGTTTTATTGTTGGTACATGTATTTTCAAACTCATTTATTTGAGATGAAGACTCATTGGTGGACAAATCTGACGTGTATAAGGCCTTCATAGCTTTTTGTGAAGCAATACTATAACTTTCTAGAAATAAATACTAATTTTAATAAAAATACACCTTATAGTAATACAGAATAGCATATTATTTCAATATAATACACATACCAATGTCTTTTCCTATTTTACGTGCAGCATGAAAATTAAAATCTAATACATTGGGGTAAACTCTGTTTTGAATCATTTTTTTTATGTTCTTTTTTGGCCAAGCACATTTCTGGTTTTTAAACCAATAATTTGGTACCGCTTCCACAGTTTTTTCATCCACAAATTCTATTATTGACCACATATTTTAAAATATTTTACTGGAATAACAATAATAAAATAGTTAAAAATTGACTATAAGAAGAATATTAATTATATATATTATGTACCTATTTAATTTTATTTAACAACTGATAAAAAGTGACAATCAAGATTGAAGCAAACTGATTTTTAAACAATTATCTTATTTTATTTTCAAAATTAATAAAACACTGATAAAAATTAATAATTGTTAGACTACATATATTATTATAATAAACATTGCTTATATCAAATTATAGTTTAAAAATAATACATATTATACTCCCCACAAGTTACAACTTAAAAAATATTATTTAATTATTTTAACTCTTTTATAATTCTAAATATATAAAATTACTTTTGTACATAAAATTAATAATTATATATTACTTACAAGAAGTATGTAGTAATGGTAAGGCTATAAATTGATCACCAGAAAGAAAAACTATCATTTTATTTTTAATCTCATTAATTGAGTAACAATAAAATTCGTTGCTTAATGTATTCACAGTATAAATATCTAACTCAGAAGATACAATTGGTTTATCAAATAAAATATTGTTGTTTTGAAATTTTTTACAAATTAAATACACTGTGTCATTTTTTTCTTTAACAATATTGAAAACTTTAACCAAAATTTTATTGTTTGTTAGTAGGAAACAGTCAGCTTCTATATTTGTTTTAATTGCAAACTGTTTCATTTTTAATGTGGTGAACTGGGATCCTTGTATATTTTCTGTAAGTGGTCCATTTTTATGAGATCCAGAAAAATGGAAAGCTGCAGGTGTTTCATTTTGAAAATGGGGTTTTAACAAATTTATTTCATTACATCTCTTAACCACTTGGATAAGCGGCTTGTCTGGTTTTCTTATCAAATTTTTTAAAGTACTCATGTAGTTTTCAAAAGGAAACGTTGAGCAATTATCCAGTGCACCAAATTTAATATAATCATCGCAAATATGGCTTAATCCATGAACATTATGTGATATGAGATGACATCCATACAGTATTTCAAATTGTTTGATAAAGTTATCTAATAATTTCCTTGCAATATTAATATAATGTCCATAGTCAGGGCTTAATAATATGATCATACCTAAACTTAAGTCAAAAAAGTTTTTCCAATGTTCCTTTGATATGATCGATTTAGTTGCAGAGGAACCCAAATACAATAAAAATGTCCTAAACTCAGTAGCTTTCCAATTTTTTATTAAAGCTAAGCTTCGAGGTTTTCTATTTATTTCACAAGGTATGTTTTTTCTTAAGCCTACTAGTGTTTTTGATATTTCTTCTATTTTCCAAGATGGATAACGAACAGTCAATGGGACTTTCATCCATAAATAAATAATTTTTCGAACAACGCCTAAGCAAACTAAATGTTGATAATCCATAGAAAAATCAGAAACAACATCAAAATATGGTACAGTAACTAAAATGGAAGTATTTCCAATATGATATTCTTCGTCAGATCGAGAAATATAATTTTGATGTGTTCTCTTAGTGGGTTGATTACCTGATGTGTGTGGAAAAGTTATCCGATTCAATAAATATTTACCTTCATGTTCACACCTTGAGCAAGAAGAGAAACCGGTGTGGCCTTTGGTTTGCAGTAAAAAAGACTTAGCCGGGGCATCACAACATAGAACATCTATTACAACTTTAAAATGTTTTCCATTTATCTTAATACCACTGTTATGTAATTCATTTATGTCGTCTACAAAATATTTTAAAAATGCATTGCTGTCATAAGGTTTTCTATTCCCACAATATATTCCTATTGGAAAGACATTATTACTATTTGGTCGAATATAGGCAAGTATTGGCCAAAATTCTTCTGCCGTTGATTTAAATAATGGTAGACCATCTACACCTGCTACTATTTTAATAACTGAAGTATCATTTTGTAAACTAGATGGAAAATGTTGTTGAATAGCATTAGCTAAACCAAAATGATAATAATTACCAGGTTCTACGATATGAAAATTTGAGGTGTCTAATGCTTGAGTTTGTAAGATTGTTCTAGAATCTTTAGGTAAGTATTCAAAACAGGCATGTTGTCTCAAAACAACAAGTAAACTATTAAGAGCACTCTGTGTTATTTTACAACTGACTGCCCATTCAGCTAATAACGATACAAAAATTGATGTTTTACCATATTTATAATTATTTGATGTACAGTCATTATTGTGTTCATCTGATGAAGACTCGCTTTCACTATTACTATTAATACTAATTTCTGATAAATTTTCTAAAGCTTCATTATTTAAATAATCTTGAAGAATTGATTCATTTGAACTTCTTTGTGGAGGTGTAAAATTAACATTTTCATCAGAAATATTAGAAGTAGATACAAATACATTCGAATTTGAGTTTACTCCTGGGACAAAATTGATTTTTGATGAATTGGATTGTGGCATAACATTATGATTAATCATGGGGTCTGAAATAAATGAAGCTATATTTCTGAGTTCATCTTCAACTCTTCTTCTCTTAGTTCGGCTACTTAGATTCGACTGTTTTTTGTATGACATTATACTATAATAGGATTGGTATAAAATTTAATTTTATTAATTAGCTAGGTACCATTGTAATCAATATCATATAATTTAATAAAATAATTTAAATACTTAAGCTACTTATTTATTACAATAAAAATCAAAAGTAGGTTTTGATGTAAACTATACTATTACAATAATTATTACATAACACAAATCAAAATATTATTTTGATTTGTATTTTCACTAGTTTAAGGATAGTAAATATGATATGAAATAGATGATAGTAAATATGAATAGTAAATCAACTTGATTAAGAATTCAAAATACACAATAATTTATATTATATTCTTGAAAATGTTTGATGGTACTTTAATTCCATCACTTACATTTAATACATTTATATTAGCGTTGATTTACTATGTAAATGTTGTAATGATAAGTTGTTAAGTATATTTTCAATGCTACTTATGTGTGAGCATGTCACCAGACATAAATAATTGTACTATGAATTAATAACTAATAAATAAAGTGGGTAATTAACTTGATTAATTAGTTTATCAAAAAAACAAATCATTTTACAATTATTAGGTACATACCTATATAGTTTTATATAGCGGGAAGATTATTTAAAATTTTATAACAATTAGCAATCATAAATAAACAATTTTATTGTAATATAAAAAACATAAATACGATAGGTATGTATAAGTCACTTAAATTATATATACCTATTATAGTTCTGACTAAACTAAAAAATTGATGTACCTACCCATTACCTAAATATTAGTATTGAAGTAAAATGTCTGAAACATTAACTATTATTGTGTTAATGATAATTTGCCCAAATTTATCAATACTAAATAGGTACCTAGTATAAAATGTTTATAATTTTAACAAATTACTATCAACAATTATTTTGGTATTTTGTAAATTTTTTAGTAATACTATATACCTAATAGGTACCTATCTAATATCAATACTACACAACCTTATTCAACAATGTATCAATGTATTACATAATGCAATTAATATTATATTGGTAAAGCAATAATTGTACATTTTTACCTATAGGCTATAGATACATCAAAATAAACATACTTATAAACACTATTTTATGTTCTTGTATGATTGAAAACAATTAATAGGTAAAGGTATTAGTTTATTATATAACACCTATATTATAATGATGTATGTACATATTATAGCATATAATATTTTGGAAATATATTTTAGGATGTAATTAATATAATATGTCAGATCAGAAAATTCTTATTCATTTCAATAAACTATTCTTAAACGTGTAGGTATATTTTAATAATCAGCTTGCTTTAATCGCAAATTACTTAACTTAATAACTACCTATATTAGGTATTATAATAAATACTTAATATTACCATATTTAGAAATAAAAGTAATTAATATATAATATAGAAGCAAGTATATTATCTTACCTGTCGTTAAGTCAAAGTAAAATAAATGGAAAACACAAATCGCAATTATACAGTTTAATCTTCTTTACGATTGTAAATACGTATCTTGAATTAGCAAAACAATGCACTCGGCAGTGTGTATAACTTTAATAATTAACACTTTTTAAAACATAAATCAACACGAATAAACTTCATTAATCTCGACTAGACACACGGACAGAGAGTAACGAGCAATATAAAATAATATACACATGGAAATTGGAAATGACCACAAGACGTATTATTACTCTATGGCACAAGTTCAAATAGACAAAGACGGACAAGACGGACAAGACGGTACAAACTCTATAATATTGTTCTATGATAATAGGTTATGTTTGCGCTCTCTCGGCGCAACGGGTTCCCTACCACTACCGGGACAGACGACAGAAAAATACGTTTATACCGCGACTTTGGGAAAACCCGTTATCTTTATATATTTAGTTATCCCCTGCTATCTGCACTATACCTATCTGCGAAATTCTTTGTAAATTATTATTCCTCACCAAAATAGAAAAGTACTATATAACGATTTACACAATATGTCACATTAACACCTCGGGTTGGTACAACCACCAACGAAATTCCCATTGGCGCGACCGTTATAACATTATTAACAACAAAATGTATGAATCAATAATTGTGCTCGTCGTTTATACGACTTATAATATTGATCATATAATATTAAATATATTCTAATATATACAAATTAGCTATATAATATAGTTATCATTTGAACAGACGCACGAACTACTATCATAATAATAATTATTATAATGTATTATTTATATATCATAAACATGAAATTATATGATTTCATTCAGTTACGTCTCAAACTTTTTTCTTTCTGTTCAATTTCTCTTACATTTTAACATATAGAGACCCAGGTTTAATCGGATAGAGCGAGATAGCGAATTTGCGAATGTTATTATTTTGTTTAGTCTCTCATGTGGCCCAGACATAATATATATGGGAAACGTTTGCATAAAAATTAAAAAGATACCTGCTATACGATACGTTGGAGGAGGGAATATTGGTGTGGGTTTAACTATCCAAGATAAAGATATAATAATTTAATATATTTACTCTGTAGCGTCCCACCTAAAAGTTGGATTTCCATTATGGTGCATTATATGATTGCTCGCAACTCGTAGCCAGGTACTGCACGTGTAGTGATATTATCTATTATTCGACTCCAGTACTCCACACTCGTGCATGGAAGATGGTCTTCAATTTACGATTTAATAGGTGGTTTTATAATAATAGGCAAGCCATATTGTGATGTACCGAGCACGGGCGATATAGGTACCTACTCACCATTTTCACGGCGCGTTTTATTATTGCACCAAGCTTAAATCTTGCCATTTTGGAAAATATATAGTATAATATATTATAATATATTCTATAATAATGTATTAACATAACTATGGGTCTGTGTTTTTATATACCTATTATTTTGGGCTTACTCAGACACTGCAGTTATTATTATGATCAAATAAATTAAACAAAATAATAATACAAATAATTTATATTATATATAATTATAATTTTATAATTCAATTTTTTTTTGAAAAATGGTTAGATTTAAACATTTTTTATATTTTATTTTCGAATCTTAATTTAATTATTTTAATTTGAATAATATATTGATAATAATAATAATATAGATTCGAAATATTTAATTATAATATTAATTGAAATAATTTTATGATCACATTTCCAAAGTATTGTTTTATAATTTCATTAATGATGTCATATTATTGATATATTCAAAATGTATTTATAACAATTCATATTTAATAACATAATGATAATATATTCAGTGTATTATTTTATTATTTCATTAATTATGTCATATTATAAATATATTCAAAATATCATTTAAACAATTCATATTTAATAGTATAATGATAAAACATAATGAATATCATTCTATTATTTCAGTTATGATATCATAATTATAATATTTTCATAATTTTTTTTTATAAAATGATTATTTGATAGTATATTAATATTATTTTCATAATAATATTTTCTTAATGAAAAACTGACAATTATAAAATATTATCATTACGGAATTGCTATCTGGGTTATTCTAAAATTTCTAAAATTATTTCGAATAAAAATAAAATGTTCGAAATAAAAAACCAAAGTATTCAATACCAAAAAGTATTTAATACAAAAAAAAGTATTTAAAATACCATTCAAAATACTTCATGCTGAAAGTATTTAAAAAGTTATTCAATACTTAAAAAAGTATTTGAATACTTTTACTCAAATACTTTTACTCAAATACTTTACAGGACTGATAATAGGTAAATCAAAATATAAATATAGTTTGTATAAAACATAATTTTATAATTTGTAATTGTTAATATCTTACTATATATAATACACTATAAACCAAAAGCCAACCAATGTTGGCACCGGAAGCGCTAGTATCCAGTGAGTAAAAACATTTATTTGATAAGAAACTTTTCCGCCGTAAAGTACCGTGGGATTGTATGGATCGTCGCTTAACCATTCTATCTTAAACCGTGGTGACAACGAAACCGATGTTGAAGAAAAGTAAACATAAATTAATAATCGTAAACTGCAGCGTCCGTACTGCAAATAAGTGCAACTGCACAAACGCATACTATATTATTATGAACTTTACACGGCTATCGTGATAATATTATCACAGAATATGATAAAATATGCATAATAATATACGATTCCGTCTATACGTTTTCGGTCGGAGTCTCGCTGTTCTATATAATATTATTAGTTATTTGGATTAGATTGCGGGATTTAGTTGTATAGAGAAACCGGAAACGAAATAATATTATATCGAAAACATTTCCGATCGACTGCTATCTGAACTTGCGCGTTATCTTAATGAAATTTACGTCTTGTAAACAGAAAACTGCACATTAATTGTCCGTATCCTGTAAAAAGTGTGTGCTAAAGTTTTGTATCGCATCAATTCAGAGTGCAGTTCGCCTTCAACTGTCGTCCAGTGTTGTAGAAGTAGTTCGATCGCAGAATAGATGAAAGTTCATATTATACTCTGTGGTCCGAGTGCAGTTTGTGCCGGACAGAACTTTTGGTTCGGACTTGTTTCGTAAGATATTAATCTGTGATTCAGCGTTTCTTGGACTAAAAATATTTTTGCATCCGGCAACAAAAAACAATAAGTATACAAGATAATATAAGAAATTACTATTGCATTCATAAACCGAAGACCTTGCAAGTACATAACGCGTATGAATTTATCGCACTGCTATAATATAACTTCCTTGTCGACACAGACTTGCGTGTGTCTTCACTCTTCAATGGATACTTCTGATCTCCACATTAAATTTTAAGACCTAGGTATTAATTTATTTGCGACAGTGTTTTTAATATTTGATTACTGTTATTAATTATTATAGCATATTATATAGGTACCGGATAGAACATTTAAACACTCTTTGTTGGTAATTTTAATCATCGTTATTATTTATTATAAAGTTTTCATGAAAGAAATTAATACTTTTATAAACGGAAATATAATTAATATACAAACTTATTTCAAATACG